ACGCACACACACACACACACACACACACACACACACACACACACACACACACACACACACACACACACACACACACACACACACACACACACATACTTAGAATAAATGCTGAAGAGTTATGCCATAGTTTATTGGGGAAGTTTATGTAGATTGATGAATAGAAACATCGAAAAAAAATCAAGAAAAAATCTCTCACAACCGACGTAGAAATGAATTATTCACCGTGTCATTCCTTCATTCTTTCTCTCCCAATTTTTTGTTCGTTCATTATTTTTATTCCTTATTCGTTGCATCTTTGTACCCCTTTCTTCATTTATCGTATTCCCTTTTTATCTCTCTTTCCCTCATTAATTAATTCGTCCTTTCGCTCTCTTTTCCCCATTATCAGCTCCCTATCACTGTCGAGATCACTTTTTTTTGTTTAAACTAACAACATTCCACTCCAAACTTGCTCTGCCTGTTCTAGTGCATCTGTGTCACCGCCTGAAAAAAAAACAGTTCCAGAAATTAAGCAGATCTGAGAAAATATTTGATTCCAGAATTTGACACAACAGAAGTAATCGACCAGTATCCTACTGCGAAGGTTATCTGGGATTTAATTTCCGCGTTTTTCTTTTTTTTTTGGGGGGGGGGGGGCGGAGGAGGTCACAGTTGGTCCTGGGATCGTGCGCAATTTTACGGATTTCGAAACTACTTATAATGTTAAATTCATTTGTTTAAGGCAGTAGTGTGTTTTATTGACAAATCTCCAGAATTTGAAACATTACATAGAAAATAGAAGCAAAAAGTAAGAGCGAGACATCACACAGAAATACTAGGAAGAAATGAAATACAAAGTGGAAATTTCACCATTAGAACACGTACATAAATAGCAATACTTACGCTCATACCTTTACTCCTTGGGATCGTATGCAACAGTTGAAGGCTGGATATCAAGAGTTGATATCAAATAATCAGGTTCTGTAACTGACTGCAGAAGACTGGTTTGTGAGGAAAACTTCAGAAAATTTGAATTTGTTAGGCACTTTTTGTGAAGGTCCAGTGGAGAGGTGGTGAAGGGTAGGTGGTTAATGGTTACAAGGCGAAATAAATGTGCTAGATACCAAAGGGCATATAGCACTATAGAAAAGCGTAAGAGTGAATAGGGTAAAGAAGTCGTATAGCAGTTTAGGAAGGTAGGGATTAACAAGGAGGATCACTATAAAGCTATCAAGGAAAAACTGCGGGATTTTGCAAGGATGTTCATAGGGCAAGGTAGGGATTAGCAAAGGAGAAAGGGGATTTAAGGTCGATTAGATCACAGTTTCAGGAAAATGTCATGAAGGAGAGAATCCAGGAAAGGGGGGTGCTGTGACAAAGGGTCAGGGGTATATCCAGCAAGAGGTAATGGGGATGGAAGTGGTGGGGGGGGGTGATGCAAATGAAGCAGGGGGGAATGGGATGTGTTGGGAAGGAGTAGGAGGAAGGAGTGTATACATGAATAAGAGGAGAATAGATATCTGCAATTACTTTGAGTGTAGAAGGAATGGGAGCAGAGAGATTGGAGGATGGAGGCATGTTATCTTGGGTCATGATTACATATTCTGAATGTTTTCGACAGTTTCCTTATGAGGGGGAGAAGAGGGGATAGATGTTTGGAGGGTGGAGAAGAGGGCGAGGTAAGAGAAGATAGGGTGAAACGTTTAGCTTGTCTTGGGCGAGGAGGAAGAAGGGTAGATACCTGGGAAGTAGTGATTGGAGTGTCTGGATTAGTGGTGGAGACTGGGGTGTCTGGATTTAGAATGGCAAAAGAATTTGACCTGGAGAGGGAGGGGTAGAAGGGGGATGATGAACAGATATTGGGGGGGAGATGTAGAAATATGAAAAGGAAAACAGCCACAGGAAGAAATGAATTATCTATTTTCATTTCTTACTGTGGTTGTTTTCCTTTTCATCTTAGTGTACACATTACTGTGTTTGTGTTTGTGTCATGTAGAAATATCTTGGGAGGAAAGAGGAAACATGGAATGGGAGGATAAAAAAAACTATGAATACCTTTGAAGAAACAGGTATGTGATTCATATATGTGATTTAGATATACGTGTTTATGACTTTATGGGGACATACACACTTACATACCCCCATCCCTCCATCACCCCTACACATACATATAAGGCCTTTTCTGTAGTATTTACCAAAACCCAAACACTTTGATATATGTTTGCCCTTTATGCTCACATAATTGGAACCTATTAAAACATGTTTCCAGTTTGTATCAGTTTACTCTGCCTATACCGTGGTACAATCACTCATATTCAGAGACATTTGAGGCATCTTAAACAGGGTAAAGATGCCCATCCAGCAGTCCGTCTGTGTTTAAAGGGTGTCTCAATATGAGCAAATGTGACACACTCTGACCAGCCAATCAGAAAACAATACTATTTGATGTAATAGACATATCAGATAGGAATTTTAATTTTCATTAATTACACATTGCATCGTGGTATAGACTTCGATGGGATGAACATCTTCTAAATCACTCAGTACCCTTATGATAATATAACCTTACAGGATCAAAAATATTAAAGAAAAGGTTGACCATCTTGATTTGTCATGATATAAGCAATAAAGCAAGAAAATGCCCACAATTATGAAAAATTGTCTAGTTGTCTGGGATTAGGACTCTATGCAAATATAGTTCACTCGCAGTGGATACAAAAAGAAATGTCATGCAACTTCCACTTTTCATCTGAAGAACAATGTTTATAATAAGAAAAAAATATTTTGACAATCCAAGAAATACACAGCCTTGTAAAGCAAAGAATGATATATATAAACAATATAAGTTGCAGAGTAGTCAGGTACTTCTTCCATTTTATTTGAAGCTTCCACAAAGATTTGCTAGTGATCCAAAATTATAATGGTTTTCTTTTGACATTTTTGTGAAATAAAGAAACTTTTTTTCAAAACTTTGTATGTCAATTATATCATGATTTGAAGCAACCACGAGACAACACCAAACAATGTATCAGTGTTAGGGGTTACATGATGCCATAAAAAGGGCCTATACATACATAAATTAAGAAAAAAAAAATTATCTTTCCATCAGCATATTCATCTTCATCTTATCTAAAGAAATAACCCCTTTTGCCCCTGAAGTGAAAGAAATATGACCTTATATTATTCTCATTATTACTATCACTAATACGTTAACTGTTCCTGTCAGTATCCTTATCATCATTACTACCACTACCCTCATGATGATTATGATCATGATCATCATTGTGAGCATCATAGTTTCTAGTATAATCATATTTATTTTATTTATTGAAAAATTAGTCTCATCAACATCTATGGCCATTAGCAGCATATTCAAAACATAGTGATAGTGTGAGGCTTAAGGGCAAAGTCCCCAGCTAGTGCAATATGACATCAATGGTCATATGGCACTATGGTAAAGTAGAGTAGCGTAAAGGGTTAGGAATTAGTTAATGCTTATTGTAAAGTTACCGGTCGAACAGTACCAAAAGATAGTATGGTAGTGAAAAAGGGGTTGAGAGGGAAGCTAATGGGGTGGATTATAAGGTAAAGATTGTTAGAAAGGGAAGGAATTAAGGGAGTAGGGAGCATTATGATAAAGTAAAGTGGCAAAAACAGCAAAGATGGGTTTAACAGCTTGAATAGGTGGACAGCACAAGGGGATGAACAAAAGGAAAAAGAAAGCAGAAGAAAAGACCGTGCAAAATTAGACGAGGCAAGGACCAAGGAAGGGGTATCTCCTAAGCCCCCCCCCCCCACGACAACAACGAGCAAGGAATTTACTTGAGAAACATTGTTTAGCAATCTATAATCAGACTTAGGTAATTTTCATGTTACTGAAGTATTTAAGATGATTATATATTTTGGGAAATCTTTTAACCCATTGCCAACAGGCGTGGCATGCCATGCCCACTGTGAGATTACTTGCTTGGTTGTTTTCACACAAAGATGGCTACACTTGTACTAAATCACCAATGAGCCAATTACGAGTACCGCCTGTCTCACCCGTTCACCCTTTTCTTTGATTTACGAAATATTTTACATTATCTTATTTTGCTGTTACTAATGTTAACCCCTTGGTGCCGGGTGACGCCGATCAGCGTGTAAACAAAGTGCTCGAAAGCTGGCGTGCAGCCGAACGAGCCGGCGGCTCGCCAAAGTGCGGCGAGCCAGTGATTCGGGCTGATGTCCCCTACTCACGCGCTCAAAGTCAGCGCGCCGCCTTTGTTTGTTTAAGCGTAGAGTTTTTTTTTGTTTTGTACACCCGGCGCCATTGGGTTAAAAAACATTATAAACATTATAATGTTTATAATAAAAATAACACAATCGATATTCTTGGCATTAGTGAAAAATACATTTTTCCCGCCATTTCAAATCAGGCACTAACAGAGCCATCTATGGGCAAACATTTCACAAAAAAATATAGAAAATAGGCACAGCATTTTCCCCAGTTTTTGCTCATTTTCCCCGGCAGCAATGGATTAAAGGATTCATCAAAATTTAGGCTAAAACGTGGAAAAAAATTAGAAAATACTGAATATATATACATGTAATTACATCTTATTTGAAAAATAATAATTTTTGATCATGATCTGCTAATATTGGACAATTCAGTTATGAGAAATTTATTTATATATGAAATAAGGTTTGCTAATTGCAGGTACACACTTATCTTTGTCTTCTTAAAGAAACGTGAGTTTATAACTTTCTATAAACAGCTGATTGCAAGCTTCTTCATAGAGAGACTTTCCAAAAATGTGAATCTTTACATCTTCTGGAAAAAGGTGTAAATAATGAGGAACCTAAGACAAATATTGTGAAGAAATGTACAAATGATAAGACATCTTTTAGTATGAATCAAATATAATGAACAAATGTCCAAATGAACATCTTACTTCACAGATCAAGTAAATGAACCTGTAAAAATAACCATATTAATTTATCCATATTTAGCCCAGAAAGGAAAATCAAAGGAACAGCCATTCTATTTTTCACTTTTACTGAAATAAAAAGTTCAGTTACAAAGTTATTATTCCACTGGTACTGTAATCACTCCACTAAATTAACTGCTTCTTCCCCATAATGTGCTTATGCTTTAGAAAAAAATAAAATTAATGCGCAGACCATTTTTCAAACGATCATGCAAGGCAGACAAATGAAGAAGCAAATTCAGAACAATGTTTATCAACTATCCCTGGTAGAATTCTGGCAGTTCATTATGCAAGAACACGCGGCGTTCTACCCCGTCCTTGGTAATGATTGCAACACGCACAACACCTCCGCTGCTTCCGTCACGGGTCAGGGCAAGGGTCAGTGCTGAGGAGGGAAAGATTTCAATGAGCACAAAGACGCTAAAAATAATAGTCATACACCTTCATGTTATATTCTACACTATAACTTGAGTTGACTGATTGTGCATTCTACATTTGCATTTTAACTTTTGATCTTTGTTAATGTTGTATGAAGATATAAAAATCCCATAGAATATTTTGAGCATTTTGAGTACCATCAAAGTATGAAAATCAAGCTTGTATTTGCTGTCTTCTGGACTTTTTTTAAAATATAAAATCAAGGTTTATTTTCTAAACATAAATCACTGCCTACTCCTGAAAGCACACGCAAAACCGAATCAGTGACAGACCTAAAATCTTAAAACAAAAAAAAAAGAACTTACTGTTTTTGACAAAATCAACTGTCTGTTCTTTGTTCATGTTAGGCTTGTAGGTTGCATCTACGTAGCCCCACACGAAAGTACTGCCCGAACCGCCAATGGCAACGGGCTGTCGCACAATCATACCACCCAAGGGGATTGTGTACACCTGAAGAGATTAACACTGTTGTAGAGGCAATGGGGAGATATAGCTTGAAACATTCTTATAGATGTTTACATAATTTTACCTTTTGGATGCCTCAATATCCCTCTTCTAGCATGTGATGTTAAAAATGTTATAATAAAATTAACATTTATATAAATAAATACATAAATAAAATTACAAACCGATTTTTCTGAAGATAAAGAAGAGATATCATCACAGGAATAGAACTGGGAAAAAGGTGGAGGAAGAGGAGGGAGAGGAGGAGGGGGGGGGGGAGTACATAGAATAGAAAAGCGAAAGAGAAGAACAAAGAGACGGCAGAAAGAAGAGGGAAGAGGATACAGGCAGAAGGAAAAGGAAGAGGGTGAGGTAAAGGAGGAGCATAGGGGACAGAGGGAAAAAGAACTGAGGGAAAAGAAAAAGGTAGAAGAAGGAAGGAGGAGGAGAAAGACAACATAAAAACAAGAAAACAGACAAAACAGGAGGAATAAGAAAACAAAACATTTTCAGCCACCATCACCTCCATGAAATAGTTACTGAACCCTGCTTACCTGGCCACCATTGGTCTTGTCCCAGCCAGCAACAATGATCCCAGCCATGAGCATGTCTCGCACACGCACACGCACACGCACACGCACACGCACACGCACACGCACACGCACACGCACACGCACACGCACACGCACACGCACACGCACACGCACACGCACACGCACACGCACACGCACACGCACACGCACACGCACACGCACACGCACACGCACACGCACACGCACACGCACACGCACACGCACACGCACACGCACACGCACACGCACACGCACACGCACACGCACACGCACACGCACACGCACACGCACACGCACACGCACACGCACACGCACACGCACACGCACACGCACACGCACACGCACACGCACACGCACACGCACACGCACACGCACACGCACACGCACACGCACACGCACACGCACACGCACACGCACACGCACACGCACACGCACACGCACACGCACACGCACACGCACACGCACACGCACACGCACACGCACACGCACACGCACACGCACACGCACACGCACACGCACACGCACACGCACACGCACACGCACACGCACACGCACACGCACACGCACACGCACACGCACACGCACACGCACACGCACACGCACACGCACACGCACACGCACACGCACACGCACACGCACACGCACACGCACACGCACACGCACACGCACACGCACACGCACACGCACACGCACACGCACACGCACACGCACACGCACACGCACACGCACACGCACACGCACACGCACACGCACACGCACACGCACACGCACACGCACACGCACACGCACACGCACACGCACACGCACACGCACACGCACACGCACACGCACACGCACACGCACACGCACACGCACACGCACACGCACACGCACACGCACACGCACACGCACACGCACACGCACACGCACACGCACACGCACACGCACACGCACACGCACACGCACACGCACACGCACACGCACACGCACACGCACACGCACACGCACACGCACACGCACACGCACACGCACACGCACACGCACACGCACACGCACACGCACACGCACACGCACACGCACACGCACACGCACACGCACACGCACACGCACACGCACACGCACACGCACACGCACACGCACACGCACACGCACACGCACACGCACACGCACACGCACACGCACACGCACACGCACACGCACACGCACACGCACACGCACACGCACACGCACACGCACACGCACACGCACACGCACACGCACACGCACACGCACACGCACACGCACACGCACACGCACACGCACACGCACACGCACACGCACACGCACACGCACACGCACACGCACACGCACACGCACACGCACACGCACACGCACACGCACACGCACACGCACACGCACACGCACACGCACACGCACACGCACACGCACGCACACACAAATATAAGCTTTAAAAAATAAAACAAAATATATTCTGATAACTACAGTATTACCAAAAATGCTTATAATATTCCACACAAATTACCTGGTGTATTTTCAATGCCTGTAGTACACACTAGTGCCTCAGACCTTTTCAAATCATCATCCAAAATAAGGAAATATCAAAGCATGAGCTAAATAAGCAAAAACAAATCAAAATACCAATTTTCCATGATATAAGAAATTGATTTTGGACGAGAAATCTTCACACTGCACTACTCTACTCTAGAATTACCATCTTTGTAAAAAACAATATCCCTCACTACAGGAATAAAGTGTTCTAAATTTGAATTTGAGTTTCGATTATCTTTCTCTAAGAGTGCACAAAGTTCCACAGCTAACGGGAAAGAATCAAAGTACAAAGTAGGTGCATTAAATGACAATATACAGAAAAAATATAATCATCATCAACTTTACAACATGCGCAGAGAATTATCTTTTTTATTTGCATAAATCTCAACAAACTCAAAGCAGAAACATAACATAAGCTACTAAAATTCCTATCTTGGAAGATTAGCAGGTTAAACTGAATTCTATATTAATAAACTTTTTTTGTCTTACACCATTCAAAAGAAATGAAAAGTACAACTTGAGGAAGTTTTACAGCAAGATTGGGCATGCAACAAAAACGTATGCAAGTTCAGAGTGGCAACTAAAACACTGCTTCATGGCTGACCCCTTTTGACTAGTTATTCTTTGCTAATAAAGTTGATAAAGAAAACTTGATTCCTTTGACGACAAACACAACTTGATTAATTTCCTTCTTTAAATCGACTTCATAACAAAAAACTGAAAGGGATAGATATATAGCTATCATGATATTCTTTTATTTCATGGGTATGTACTTCCAGTTTCAGCCACTGAATTGTGATGTAAATATGTTTGTGCTGTTCTGTGTGCTTAGCATTTACCCATTTACCTATTTCTCTCATAAAATAATTATTTTTAATTATACTGTGACCCTCAGGCACATCCTTGTTCCCATTATTTGGGTTAAAACTATGGGTTTGGGAACCACTGGTTTAAGTGAATTATTTTTATATCAGTCATTATATGGAAAACAAATTCCTTATGAATCTCCTTTCTCATTGAAGAGGAAACATTCCAACCACCCATACATCTCTGGTATCTTAAAATGTTTCTATTGTACAATTCACAGTAACATATGTACTTCATAATACTCTTTCTTTGGCAGTTAAATATGGTCACTTATTTCTTTGAGTGCTATATATAATTTATTTCTATGACTGTCCAACAATAATTTTTTAATGACCAAATAAAAATAAAATCCCCAAACCATATTCATGAGATCAAAACTAATTAAACAAGTCAGACTTACTGTAGAATCTCCATGTGTGAAGACACAATATCTGCAATAGCCTGGGTGTCAGCTGCTGAACCAGAACGACAACAGTAGATGCTGTCAGTGACACGTGTTAACTTGTCAGTCACACGATTTGAGACATAAGTTCCTAGCGAGGTCCTGGAATCGGCTCCCACAACCACACCACCGTCAAACTCGACAGCCATGATGGAAGTCTGAAAGGAATAGCACAGGTGAGTGACTCTTTATGGACAATGTGAACCTTCAACGGCAACTCACAATTAACTAATTAATAAGATAAGGCTGAAAAAGATCAGCCACATAAGGCTTCTAACAATACACAATATAACCCAAAGAAAAATTCCTACTAGGTCTTTATGAAAGATTCCTATAAAGGTCCAAGATAAGTTGGCATAAATGGCTGAAAACTCGTGGAACCCTAGATTGGAAGGACATACAAAGATATCACTGCAGTGGACATTGCATGATCTCGGCAATATTGGATTCAAGCCTTAATCTTGAAGGCAATCATAATGCTTCCATCATTCACTTACAACAGTTGGAAATTCATACTCGTACTTATCAAGGTTATAGCTCTCTGTGAAGTACTTCTATTTGTATCACAATGTTCTCTAGTTTTACAATACAAACCTCCATATACACACTGCCATTCCTGATCTTCCCTTTGCTACTTTGCCTTTTCCTGAATTTCACACCAATAAGCATCACTACAAAGAAAGAATTAGTCACATATTCTGGTTATTTTATCATTAAGAATTGGATGTGGGTGGGGACTCTTAATAAAAATCAATAAACAAGAAATAAGTTTCCGATTTTAAATGACTATTGATAAACTAGGTTTGATGGTACAATGATTGCTGCAAACTGCACCATTTAGTTTTTTTCTTAGGTATATGAAGTAGCTTCTGGCTCTTAAATACCTACAAACCAAGAAAAAACTGATACAGTTCCCCACACATTTTGCACTTGAAATTTATTCCTCGGAATACCACAACACGTGCTCTGTCCCCAGACAGAGCACCTATTCCAGGACACCCATACAGTTGCTATATTTCCCACATTTAAAATAGGGAAACAATTAAAAGTACAGTGACTTTTCAAAAATGTGACTACAATCTATACATACGAAATTCTTTAACATTGTCAATACATATTTTTTACAGAAATACTAAAACATATGAAAGTACAGAATTGCATACCAATCATACCAAGTGAAAGTTGAAGGATATTATCACAGAGTGGGAAAAAAACTCCACTCACTGACATATGTAATAGGCTGTGGCTACTTTTAAGGTGTGTGTCGTGATGCAATGTCTACTGACTATTTTTCAGGGAGTTCCAATCACAACGGCACAGTGTGGAATTCTCAAGCTCTGCTGTAACGATATTACAAAATCAGACACTATATTGTCTAACGCAGGGGGTTGTGCCAGCTGCAATCCTCCAACCCCTGCCCAGGAAAACAAAGAATTTTCCATGTATTCACAGCAGGCGAGAGCATTTGACAGACTTGGCATCAGACACTCCCGCATTTCAGTCGAGTGGTCTACCCTACCTTGGGTAAAGTAAGAATTCCAGACTGCGCGCACACATCGGAACCCCCATAAAACGAGTCAATAGACATCATGTTACATTACCGTAAATATAGCCACTTCATATATAATAAAATAGGTAACAAAAAAAAGCTGTATAGACAAAGTTCTTGATGACTGGGTGGTGATCCAAGGGCAGATCCCCCGACTATGAAAATAAGGTGATTGGGTGAGGGTCAAGAGCTAAGCTCTCGAGTTAGGAAGATGTTTCTGGACCCCCAAGAGAGCCCCCACGACTGCTAGCTTGAGTAATAAGGACTTATGCTTCTATTCAGACACACTTCGGACACCTTATTCAGTGGTGGTCTGGATATGCGGACCTCCGTTGCAATGAAGGCAGAGTCCTCATCAGTCCTCATTGACTGCGATGAGAGGCAGATCAACTGACATTAGCCGACGCGTGAGATACTGAAACTTCAAATCCAGCGACTCCGGGGAAACAATCTCTCCGTGAAAGGCGTCCGAAATGTGTCCTAACACGAGGGTTGGTCTCTGAGTGTTGCAGTCACCTTGTAATCATTTAACTTTGGTCTGTTTGCTGAAGTAGAGTACAACGTCTCGTGGCAGATACAGTACCGTTGTAAACTCCTACCCATTCGTTATATATATATAAAAAAAATAGAAAGATAATAACAAAGAATTCACTTCCCTGTGGCAGACATTTTAAAGACCACTCGACAAGATAAAAAAATTAAGTAAGATATTACTCCAACACTGAAAACGCAGATGCTACAAATTCCCAGCCTCATATTACCAAAAACAAACCGAAATTTACAACAGAAAAAAAAAATGCAACCTCACACCCGGCACCTCAAAACAACCCTCCTCAAACCCTTCGTTAAAATCACAAGAAAACCGCCATTTACCCCGCCATATTTAACCCCAATAACCCCGCCAAGACCACAGCCACTCGACTCACTCCCGTAAGAAGCTCATTTTTCATCCACTCGGGCAGGAGAGCGTCGAGATGAGAGTTCTGCATCGTATGACTTGACTGAACTGCCGCCGCCATGATACTCGCCTGGAGGGATACGGACTTACTGTGTTGTCATTTGTCATCGTCGGTAATTTTTTGGGTTGTTTTGGGTTTTATCTTATTTTATTGGGGTTTTGATATTTTTGGGTTATTATTTTTCAAGGGTTTGGTAAAAAAAGGGGTGAGTTATTTCTTTTTCGTTCCGCTGAGAGGGTTGATGGAAGGAGGGATACGGACTTATTGTGTTGTCATTTGTCATCCTCGGTGAGTTTTTACTTTTTTATTGTGGTTTTAATAGTGTTTTATATCATTTTTGCTCAATATTTTGTATTCTTTTTATACTGCTTGGCATATTTTTTTCAGTGGTTTATCATTTTTTACTTATATTTCTATATTGTGGTTTTGATATTGTTTGGCATAAATTTTCAGTGGCTTATCTTATCATTATTATTATTATTATTATTATTATTATTATTATTATTATTATTATTATTATTATTATTATTATTATTATTATTATTATTATTATTATTATTATTATCATGATTATTATTATTATTATTATCATCATCATCCTTATCATTACTATTATTATTATCAATATCATTATTATTATTATTACTATTATTATTATTATTTTTATTATTATCAATATCATTATTATCATTGTTATTATTATTATCATCATCATTATCATTACTATTATTATTATCAATATCATTATTATTATTACTATTATTTTTTTTTATCATTATCAATATTATTATTATCATTATTATTATTATTATTATTATTATTATTATTATTATTATTATTATTATTATTATTATTATTATCATTATTATTATTATTATTATTATCATTATTACCATTATTATTATTATTATTATTATTACTATTATTATTATTATCAGTATCATTATTATTATCTACTTTATTGTAGTTTTGATATTGTTTGGTGTCATTTTCCAGTGGCTTAGAAATAGAAGTTGTTTCTTTTTGTTTCTTTGAAATGTCTGTTGTCATCGCGGATTTGTTAATACTTTTTTCGCGAAACATTATTTTGTATTCACGTTTTTTTGTGTGGAAATATTGGATTTCTGTTTAGTTATTACTGTGAATTTATTTTGAAAATACATTATAGTGATGATATTAAAAACTAGGATAACAACAACATGTGATAATAGTAATAATGACAATAATAAAAGTAATAGTAATGATAACAATAAAACGATGATGATAATAATGAGGATAGTAGTAATAACAGTAATAATAATAATAAAAACAACAACAAAAATAATAATAGCAATAGTAATAATGATAATAATAATAATAATAATAATAATAATAATAATAATAATAATAATAATAATAATAATGATAATAATAATAATAATAATAATAATAATAATAATAATAATAATAATAATAATAATAATAATAATAATAGTAATAATAATAATAATAATAATGATAATAATAATAATAACAATAATAATGATAATAATAATGATGATAATAATAACAATAATGATAAAAACAGTAATGATAATAATAACTATGGTAATAATAGTAATAATAAAAAGGATAAAAATAAGGATGATGATGATGATAATAATAATAATAATAATAATAATAATAATAATAATAATGATAATAATGATAATAGTAATAAAAAATAATAATAAAGAAATAATAAAAACGGTGATGATAATGATAATGATAACAACAATAATAATAACAGTAAAAATAATAATAACAACGACAACAACAATAAAAAATAATAACAATAATAATAATAATAATAAGGATAATAAGGATAATGATGATAATAATAATAATAACAATAATGATTAATAAATCACTAACTAATGGCGATAATGATGATGATAATAAGAATTATAATAATAGTAATAATGATAATAGTATTAATAATAGTAATTATAACAGTAATAAAGATAATGACAATAGATAATGATAACGACAATGATAGAAGAAGAAGAAGAAGAAGAAGAAGAAGAAGAGGAAAAAAAAGAAGAAGAAAAAGGAGAAAAAGAAGTAGAAGAAGAAGAGGAAGGAGGAGGAGGAGGAGGAAGAGGAGGAGTAGAAGAAGAAGGCGAAGAAGAAAAAGATGATGATGTTGATGATGATGAGGAGGAGGACGATGGTGAAGATGAATAACTCAAAAGACGATAATTCGGCAAAAAGAAATGCAGACACGAAAGAGCAAAGATAAATGAGATAAAAATAAGGAAGAAAAAAAAAAGATGAATTTTAGCATGTCAGAGACTTTTTTTCCTTATATCATAAGCAACAAGTCCAATGCACAATTTTCATTATTTGTTGGGCAAGGAATAACGCTAATGATAAATACAAAAGTTACCCCTCAAATCTAATAAAACTCAAATAAATGCAGTTTTCTATGAAAACTATTCACCATTAAGGTATTTTATCAATAAAAGAAAGCTAAATTGATTATCGGAAATATTACAGATAAAGAAGAATATTTTTCTAGCAATGTTTTTTTATAAAGCTCTTCGTGATATTAATTGATTTGATTTTGTACCGATAATTCAGGATTGAAACGCTGCCGTTCTTCATATTGATATTGATGTAATAAATAAAAGTTAAAGAAAATAAAGAATAATTACTTCGGAATAAATTACGAAATATTCATAGAAAATAAACCACAAACTATCCTAAAATTCCAGAATTCCAAAAAATCCTCAATACCAGTTCTCACCCCCCCCCGCCCAATACACCAACAAACCCTAATAAAATTAATAATAAAAAAAATCTATCCACCCCCTTTTATTCCCAAAACTAAACACGACCCACAGAAGAAAAATAAAATACACAAAATACGAAATAACAAAACCCAGAAATAAACCCTCCCCCCCCAAAAAAAAACAAACAAACTAATAATGAGAACGAATAAAACAAAAACAAAAACAAAACTAAAAAAAAACAAAAATCCAAAAAAAACAGAAATAACCCCCACAAATTAAGATAATACCCCCCCAAAAAAATAAAACAAAACCGAAAATAAAACCCCAACTCCTCCAAAATAAACCAATAATGGGAACGAAAAAAACAAAACAAAACTGAAAAAAAACAAATCCAGAAATAAACCCCCACCACCTAAAACAAAAAAATAATAAGCCCAAAAATAAAATAAAACCGAAAACTCCCCCAAAATTCCTGAAAAACGACCATGACGTCACGGGCTCCGGAGAGACGTGTCACTCGGGACTTTCACAACAACAAGACGACGAAGATGCGGAGTCTCGTGGCGTTTTTGGCTCTTTTCTCCCTCTTTTGGGCCTCGGAGGCTTATTTCATCACCATAGACGCCCATGCGGAGGAGTGCTTCTTCGAGAAAGTCACGACGGGCACGAAATTAGGTGAGAAGGAGAGAGAGAGAGAGAGAGAAAAGCGAAGTCCAATGCCGTCCCGTCGTTGCGTGTTCCGTGACAGATGTCGGCATTTATTATTTTTTTCTCTCTCTCCCTCCTTTTATTCTTGATTTGAGTTTTGTGTGGTTTGCGGTAGCGTGGGCGTAGTCTGGAAGGCGAGGGTAGAGCGAGTGATCGAAGGACGACCGTCTGATCTTTAAGGGTTTTAAGTCATGTTATCGTATCCAATAACGCTTGCTTGGGTGATGGGTAACATAGGATAAATTCTAGCTTGGGTGATGGGTAACATGGGATAAATTCTCGCTTGGGTGATGGATACATCAGGATAAATTCTAGCTTGGGTAATGGGGTACATGGGATAATTCTAGCTTGGGTTGATGGGTAACATAGGATAAATTCTCGCTTGGGTGATGGATAACATAGGATAAATTCTAGCTTGGGTAATGGGTAACATGGGATAAATTCTAGCTTGGGTGATGGATAACATAGGATAAATTCTCGCTTGGGTGATGGTTACAATAGGATAAATTCTCGCTTGGGTGATGGGTAACATAGGATAAATTCTAGCTTGGGTGATGGGTAACATAGGATAAATTCTAGCTTGGGTGATGGGTAACATAGGATAAATTCTAGCTTGGGTGATGGATAACATAGGATAAATTCTCGCTTGGGTGATGGATAACATAGGATAAATTCTAGCTTGGGTGATGGATAACATAGGATAATTCTAGCTTGGTTGATGGGTAACATAGGATAAATTCTCGCTTGGGTGATGGATAACATAGGATAAATTCTCGCTTGGGTGATGGATAACATAGGATAAATTCTCGCTTGGGTGATGGATAACATAGGATAAATTCTAGCTTGGGTGATGGTAACATAGGATAATTCTAGCTTGGGTGATGGTAACATAGGATAATTCTAGCTTGGGTGATGGATAACATAGGATAAATTCTAGCTTGGGTGATGGTAACATAGGATAATTCTAGCTTGGGTGATGGATAACATAGGATAAATTCTAGCTTGGGTAATGGGTAACATAGGATAAATTCTAGCTTGGTTGATGGGTAACATAGGATAATTCTAGCTTGGGTGATGGTAACATAGGATAATTCTAGCTTGGGTGATGGTAACATAGGATAAATTCTAGCTTGGTTGATGGGTAACATAGGATAATTCTAGCTTGGGTAATGGGTAACATAGGATAAATTCTAGCTTGGGTGATGGATAACATAGGATAAATTCTAGCTTGGGTAATGGGTAACATAGGATAAATTCTCGCTTGGGTGATGGATAACATAGGATAAATTCTAGCTTGGGTGATGGTAACATAGGATAATTCTAGCTTGGGTAATGGGTAACATAGGATAAATTCTCGCTTGGGTGATGGATAACATAGGATAAATTCTCGCTTGGGTGATGGATAACATAGGATAAATTCTCGCTTGGGTGATGGATAACATAGGATAAATTCTCGCTTGGGTGATGGATAACATAGGATAAATTCTCGCTTGGGTGATGGATAACATAGGATAAATTCTAGCTTGGGTGATGGTAACATAGGATAAATTCTCGCTTGGGTGATGGGTAACATAGGATAAATTCTAGCTTGGGTGATGGTAACATAGG